GACATGAAGTAAATACAGTAAAAGCCAGAACCAAAAGTGAAGATAAACATCTTGACTAGACCAGAAAACACACTGGTTCTGCCTGGTGCTCCAAGTGCAATTCCCTTGCACTTTATTCTGTAGCCAGTACCTCTGGGTATTGAGCTTTCCCTGGGGGTCAGTTCCTCACTGGCCTCTCCCCCAGGAAGAAGAAGCAACTTCCTCTCTTTCCTTTTATTAAGTGACAGTAACACAAAGTTTGGGCACTTTGGAGGAAGTGCCTATCTAATCTAGACCTTGTGCAATATTAAAACCCATATAAATATATAGAAATTGGCATTTGTCTTGCCCAAACAAAACTGAGGCTCTGTTTTTTGATTTCTTGGGTTTGTTCATTCCTTGCCCCTGCAGCTCTCCCAGTGAACTGCCTGTCCTTTGCAGTGTCAAACATGGCTGGTGCTGGCCTGGGCTGCCACAGGGACCAGAGTGGCAGCTGTTTATGAAATTAGAAAAACAAAGGGAACCCAGGCTGACATATACCTTGTCAGACTTGCTGTGAGGCTGGTTTAAGTCCCAGGTGCTTCTAGAAACCAAAATGTGCTCTATAAACCTAAAAATTCTTCCCAGATATTCACCTTAGTTGCTAAGCAGGTCTTTGAAGACTTTGGGTCACAGGCTCATTTCTAAGTGTTAAGGAAAAAAAAGTACCCTTCCTGTTTAAAATTACATTCTGTCCTCTGGGTTTGTCTATTAAAAATCCTGCAGTAAGCCTGTACATTCTTTAATTTACAGTCATAATGAAATAGAGATTGTCAAATACTGTCTTAAATTAGAAAAATATCTGATTACCCTGTCTAGATCCTGAAAACCTGAACTGAAAAGTTCAAGTCTGAATAATATATGTAATTATTTCTGGCTTTATTAGCTGTTGGAAAACATGACTGAAGTTGTTAGAAAAGGGATCCAGGAAGCACAGCTTCAGCTTCAGAAAGCAAATGAAGAACGACTTCTGGAGGAGGTAAGGCTTTAAACATCAGCTGTACTTGAGGTAACTTGTCACAAAGGGGTCACTTGCTCACCAGCCACTGTTGGGTTGTGCTTTGCAGGGGCTGCTGCGACAGATTCCTGTGGTGGGCTCTGTGCTGAACTGGTTTTCCCCCTTCCAAGCCTCTCCGAAGGGAAGGACGTTCAATTTAACAGCAGGTGGGGCTCGCTGCACCTGCACCGTGTTACACTGTTGTTGGGGCTGTTCCCAGTTTGACACTGAACTTGCAGCACATTCCTGTGCTGGTTGGATCATGAGTGACATGATCCACCCTCAGGATGCACAAGAACATATTTGTAATTCATGTCTGGTGATGTGGAAGGAGCTGCCTTTAAGCTTTTAAGCTGCCTTTTAAGCATCGTTGAATCTGATGTACCAACATAATACTTTCTGAAATTATAAATTTCCACTGTAAAAATACTGTGGCAGAATTAAGAATGAATACTCCTGGACTCAGCAGTGTCTGTCACACCTGGCCTGGCTGTCTGTGTGTCTGTAACCTGCAGGGAAGACTTCCTGCTGTGCTTGGGGCCTTTCTGACTCTGGATGCACCCCCGGGCAGGTCCTCACAGCAGAGAACAGCCATGTTCCCCTGGGAATGCTGACCCCTGCATGGTTAGATACCCCTTCCATGTGCACTGCTCCATAGCTTGCAGCTGGGAAGATGTCAAGTGCCCAGGGGGGAAAGGAAAAGGGCCTGCAGGGTGTAGCAGTGTTGTGAGTGAGTGTGAGGGGAAACCATCCATTTTTGAAGTGTCAGCGCTCCTGTTCCCAGGTACTCAGACATGGATCCCTCACCACGTGGCAGTTTGAACTCAACCAGCACATGCACTTTCAGAAATGTGCATTAATAAGAAGACTGTTACATACCTTACAAATGCAAAGAGAAAACTGCTCCAGCCTGGGTTGTAGTCAACTTCTTTTTTTTTCTTTTTACCCACAGGCTCTCTGGAATCCACAGAATCCACATATGTGTCAAAGGCCCAAGGAACAGGCACCACTCCACCACCCACTCCCACTTCCAGCCTTGCAAAGCAAAGACTTCCTGGTAAGTTTCTGTGTCTTAGTTAAATTTCTAAAACTCGCTAAAACACCCTGATACAGGATGAGCCACATGATTTTCCATCTTTCTTAATATCTGGAACTGGAGCTCATCTTCTACTGCCTTAAAAACCTTATTGTACACGTGACACAGACCACCACCCCAACCTCTTTTCTCCCCACAAATTCTTCCTGGGCCTACAGGAAGTTGTTATCCCAGTAGCTGACAACAGTCCATGAAATCTGGAATCTTCCTCTAGAATATTATGAGGTTATTGAGCTTTAAAAACGAGCAAGCAACAAGCCAAAAGTTCTATTTGAAATAAAAGCATAACATCGTGTAATCGTGTACTTCAGCAACTGCATTTCTATTGCTACCAAATATTTTGTGGACAAAGTCCTTCTAAGGTGAAGATCTGTTAAATCTATGGCACTCTCTGCATAGTTGTATTAGTAATCAATGCTGATCTGATTGGCAGGAAACCCACAGTTTTAACTCACCTTTTGAGCTGGTGGCTTCCAGCCTGTAGTTTTCTATGCAGGTTTTTTCCCTGGAATGACTTCAGTGTGTGTGTAGGCAGTTTGGTTTCAGCTCAGTTTTACCTGTCTCTGCATATACAGGATACAAGGACAGGTGCTTTTACTTTGCAGACCTGTCTCTAACTGCAAGGGAGAGTGTCTATATTTAGGTACAAAGCTGCACCCAAACAAAACCTATTTTTTTGCAAGTTGTAGAATTATGATACTTCCTTTGAACTTGTGCACAGCACTGTTTGTGTTTGCTGCCTTCATGGGTACTGTGTTCTTCAAACACTTTGCAGGTCAGAAAGCTTTTAAAAGGTCTCTAAGAAGCTCTGATGGGTTCAGTGAGACCAGTTCCATCAGCCACTGTGATGACCTGGAGAAGATGGATCAGAGACCCCCAGCTCTATCCCCCAGCCACGAGCAAGGACCTTTGGAGACAGAAAAAACAGAGGAGCAGAAGGAGGTGGCACAGGCACAGCCAAATACTGAGGACACTCACAGTGACAAATCACCACCTGACTGTGCAAAGGGAGAGGAACAAGTAAGTGAAAGATAAAATCCAGTGTGGATTTCAGACTTTGCCAAGGCAGCCCCTGCCCAGGGAGGCAGGGTGTTAATGATGCATTGAAAATGTGAACAGTGCCACACACTAGTACAGTAATAACTACTGTAACTTATTAACTGGGATTTTGCACAAATATGAATTCCCTCCCCTGGGACAGAGATTTGTCTTATCATACTCTTGTTACAGTTGCTTTAATCCTCTACATGTCGGTGTCACCAAAGCAGTAGTGAAATTTATTAAGTGCTCATAAACATTTGTAAAAACACTTAGCAATTATCCCTCCTGCAGGAATCTACGCATGGTAACACTTGCTAACGAACCCATCAGCCATGCACACGGTTAAAAATACAGTTGCACCCAATAATTATACTACTACATAACAAAACCTCCCAAACAACTGCCAGTTGTTCACCTATTTACAGTTCAGTTTAACCTCTCCTGCAGTCACACTACTGCCTTGCTTGCCTTTTGTTACCTTATCCAGCACCTTGCCCAGCAGCCGTGGCGGCGCTGGGAGGGCCGGGCCCGTGTAAATAGGGGGTCACTGAGGAGTACTTGGCCAGCGGCCATTTGTTCTGCTGTTGTGCTTCACCCACCCAGCCACAGCCCTGGGTACAGTGGGGACTGAGTTCATGAGTTCTAAGCCTTTTAGAAAGAAATAGTGCCTCTGCATGCCTGACCAGCTCCCTGCTTCCACCCCGGGAAGGATCACCAAGGCACCGTTGCGTTCCTTTGCACGGCATTGACACCAAATCCGCTCGCACACGTTGATGTGGTGTAACTGGAGTTCTTTCTGTTGTGTATTTTTAAAGGTAGTTGTAGTAAAGCTTGAAAAACCAATACATTTGTGACAGTTTCCACACTTATTTTTTAAATAACAGTAACTTACCTATGGTAGGAATTGTACAGACTCTAAAGAAACTATTTAGGTTATTTACAGCACAGCACAACTTCAGAGTGTCTGGGACTACTTTGGATAAATCCAAACCCAAGGTCTAAAAGTGTTTTCCCCCTGGATCATCTTAATCACTTCACTGCAGATTTTCAGAGCCTCTTGTGGAAAGATCTTTGGCAACACTTGCTTTCCTTGAGTCACCTGATTTTGATGCAAACCATCCCATCCCTGTAGAACTGGATACAAATACTGGGTTTTTTCTTCCCCTCCTGATGGGTATCCATTAATACCATAATGGCTGTAGTGGTCCTGGGGCTTACTTTGATAATCTGAAAAATTTAGGGTTTTTGAATTGTACTGGCACCTGATCTGACTCTCAGCTCCTCAAGCCTGCAGAGCTGGGATGCCACGAACAAGGTTAATTTTGCTGTTGGGGTAATTTATGTAAATCAGTGCAATTTTTCTAAAGTGCAAAAGCAATTAAGTTGACTAGTCTTCCTCCTTGGTTTCTTTGGTGCAATGAAGTATGTTAATAATAAGAGTAATTTGTTGGGGATGAAGTTATCACCACAAAGATTAATTTTTAATGTTTTTATATTTGGAAGTGTTAAATCAGTAAGTTTTGTTGGAATGAGCTTCATTCTTTAGATACTTACCTGAATGTTTCAATAAAGATTCTTCAAATTATTACTCTGGAATTAAGTTCTTGTTGAAGGACACTTCCCTACATTTCAGCAAGCTCTAAGTGTGTGCAGCTTCCTTTCACTGTGTGTGCAAAATCACTTTCTGAAGTGCACACCAGTGTACTGACTCACCTTCTCAGTCTCCAGCACTGCCCCCCCTCTACCTGTGCCCATCAAATTACTGCACTGGAGCAGCAGAGCCTAAACAAAGCCAAATTCTTACTTCAAAAACCCTGATTCCTACGTAAGTAATGCAGAAAAAGCAAGTTACTTCTATCAAAATATTTTATTTTGAAAAGCACAGGAACAATGGTATTTGTGACCAGCAGTATCCTTTTTACAACAAATTGCTCATCTTGCAAGATTGTACTTCCCTAAAGCAGTTGTGGTGGTTGGGTCCAGGTTAGATCTTGTCAGAACAAACCTGTTCCCACAACCCTTCTTTGTTTTTCTTGTAGATGCGAGGTTTGCTGTCGGGGAACAGGGACCGAGATGGAAAGGGATGTGCTTTGAGAAATGTTAATGTAGATCGGATGTGGGAAACAAAGTGGGGTGGCTCAGCCAGGGGCGACGTGGAAAGATTCTGAAAAAGAAGATGGGAGCAAGAGCTGCTTGATATTCAGAGCACAATGTTCTCCAGATCCTGCCTTCCAGTAAGGATATTCCCCACCCTCCCGGGGCCAGCAGTGCACTGGAAGAAGTTCTGACAGACTGCATCCCCTCCTCTCTCTACTCAGCCAGAAGGGGAAAAAAAAAAGCTGTTTCAGGTACCTGTAAAATCTGGGCATCATCCTGTTCCAACCAGAAGTCCACGTGTGGGAAAGGCCCCCAGAAATAAGGCCCAATACGGAGCTGTTCCGTCTTTGCATCGTAGATGTTGGTGAGCTGTAAGAACACAGGGAGCCTGCAGGGTCAGACAGGGCTCACACTGGCAAAGAGCACATTCCCTTGGTCTGAGGGCCTTGGGCTCAGCTCCTGTCCCAGACAGACTGTGGGCCAGCTCAGCCCTTCCTTCTGACTGCATTACCTTGAACCAGCTCTGACAAACGTGACATTAAACAGTAACAGCAAACCCAGAACCCAGAGAATGCTACCAAAGGATTTTGTTTCCTCAAACTTTGGATGTTTGTCCCAACTGGTCTCCCCTTCTGACAAAAATATCATTATTTTTACTCACTGGTGCTCCTGTTAAAACATGGGCTGAACGCAAATCCTCATCCGGCCCTTTTTCTGGGAAGGTTGCAGGGAAAATCTCCGCTGTTTTAACATTCACAGCTGGGAGGAAACAGAGATTAAAATACGGAAACAATTAATTCCTACAAGGCACTTGTTCACAGTGACCATGTCCCCAATACAACCGTGTTGCAGAACTTCAGAACCCATCACGCGCTGTTGTATTGCTCAGACCCCTGAGCCTGCAATAGCACATTTCTACTCCATTTCCTTTGACAGCATTTCAGTAGTCCACAGATGCATGAACTAATTAGAAGAAACACTGAATAATCAATAAGAAGGTTGAATTTGAAGCAGAAATTTAGTGCAGTAGCTTGATATTGATAAAATCATAACTGCAGTTAAAGGAAAAAAAATCTGCTTGCCTTTGTACACAGCCCCTCCTACATGTGCAACTGTGCTACCACAAGACAAGTATTTCTACCTTCGCCTCTGACAGCAGCTTGTAACTTTTAGGATGGACTTCAGGCAGTCATTAACTATGAGCCCATTTACCACTGGAATCTGAAAAGCAACCCAGTTACAAAATTATAATTAAATTCTAATTTACTCACCTATTCCATAAATGATTGGAAAGTGAATATCTTGTTCTTCTCTATCATTTAGTTCTATAAGGAAAAAAAAAAGAAATCAACTTGTAGGACTTTGGATTGTTCTGCACACAGCATTCAATTTAGTTGTTCTCTGATAATATACAACAGATCTGAAGTTGTAAAGACAGAAAAAAACCAAGGAAGCCTAAAAGAAATATGGAAAAGAAGGTGCAGGTGCAGGTCTGCTTGGGGCCTGGAGCAGAGCTGTCTCCAAACAGAACAGCTGTCTCCAGCCAACTGCCCCCCACTTCTGCATGGGCAATTTAGAGGGAAAAACCCACAATGCAAAATGACCACGATGCCAGGTTTCAAAGATGTAAGTCACCAACAGCACTGTCACGGAAAGAAGATGGAAATATGACCTCAACATGATATAAAGGAAAGGAAATAACTTCCTCTAAAGTGACATCACACACTATGAACTAACTGAAAGAGTTGACGAGTTCACTGGACCCTGCAGGGAGGCAGGTCCAGCAGCCCAGCAGAGCAAAGGTCTGCAAGTGCCCTTCTCAATTGTCTCATAAGATCTCCACAGGTACAGAGCCTGTTCCACAGGGCAAATGTGCCAAAATAACCTGGCCAGGATCACGAGTGGCTCTGCTATTGGCTGCAGTGCAGCAGAACTTGGTAAGGAGAGAATCCTGCTGCGCTGGCTCTCTGCCATCACCACACACACCGAGCACAAGAAAACTAACAATTACAAACGGTTATGGAGGACTTGTGCTGGTCTGTCTTACAGGACAGATAAAAAGCCATGAAAAGACCTCTGCCCTTTGATTTCAGTAGCTAAAGGTACTTCAAAACCCAAGGAAAGATTTTCTTACCTGTTACACAGAAGGTCACTAAGTGAACATCATCTGGCTGGAGATCGAACGCTCCTACGGCAACAAGGACAGTGCAAACTGTGAGTGAGGGTGGCAGGGCTGGGCTGGGTGGGCACTGCAGTGGTGGGCACACACCTAAACCACTGCTCCTGGGGAGGGCACAGCAAACAGCCTTTTGCATGTTTGCTTCAAACTAACAGCAATTTACAGAGAGCAGCCATTTGTAATAGCAAAAACGTGCTAAAAAAAGTGTTGTGCCACTCACTGCTTTTAGTGACACTGGTTTAGCTCTGGCATCACACCAGCTCTGATTTAGTTCACTATACACATTAGGCAGCTTATATTTAAATGTTTTTTCCTAAAATGTTACATATATAGCAAGCAAACCCAGTCTTTCACTAGGTGTAAATTAAATCTGCCTTTCACCATCTTAAACTCCAAGAAAAAATTCCTGTTTTTTCCAAAGTTCTGACAGCAATACAACATGATTGATTCAAATTGTAACTTGATGTGTGAGAATCAGAAGGTTGAAAAAATAAGTTAACCAAAATACCTTTTTCTGTACAGAACTCTCATATAACATAGACCAGGTGTAACAGCCATGAGGCTGCAGCCCAGGGCCTTTGCTGGTTCCGTTTTCCTTTTTGTTTATCCCCTTAAACACCTCCCTCCAATCCTGACACCTGCCCCATCCCTCCTCCCTCCCCATTCCAGTGGGGCTGAAGCCTCTCCAAACTCAAAGTGCTCAGCACAAGGCAGAGCACTTGCAGGTAGGCAGGTACTTTATGTTTGCAATCTGTTAGTAAAGCACTGCCATCACTACTCTGGACTGTGGATTTTATAAACAGAACTGACATTTTTCATCAGGCAATTCCAAACAATAATTAAATTTTACCTCATCTCATTAAGTATGAACTGAATGATAATTAATGAAGTCACCCACACTCACAGATTTGGAGAGTGTCACCGCTTGCCCAAGATCACACAGGGGATCAGGAGTCAAGCCCAGCTGAATTGTGCCCCAGCTCTCCACAGCAGAACATGAGCCAGGAGGAAATGACCATTTCAGACCCTGCATCCCACACACTGCCCAGGGAGCAGCCCCAGCAGCCCAACCCTCTCCACACCAAGTTTTCAGGCATAGAAAAACACCCTTCAAAATGAATCCACGTTTCTTTCCAGTAAATGACTGGGGACTCAGATTACAAACAAACTTTACCCACATCCAGCCAGAACTATTGTTTTTGGACATGAGAGTGGAAAAAAAGTGAACTTACTAAGAAGCTGATTAGTAAGTTTTTGTGATAACTGCCTATCATCATTGAAACCTCCAACTAGGTGCACTTCCAGCCTAACAGAGATGGAATAACAGGAAACAGCAATTAAAAAGACATCTCAAAATGAATAGCTTTACAAAATAATCCCCAGCCCAAACTGCAAAGCAATCATTAGAGAAGCCTTATTACAATCACATGCACCAAGCTGGTTTGCATTGCACAGCAAGTTATGGTAACTCCATTCTCAGCACTTGAGGGATCATAAGGAAATGGCACAGAACAAAAGCTTTAAGAGGCATTACATACATGCAATTCTAACCCAGGGGTATCTCTGATGGTCAGCATGGAACTTTGTAACCACCTTTCAGTTCCCAAAAAGGGTTAACTAAACATGAAGATTTTTGTTCCCATGACCCACTCACAACTATTCTGGACCATGCAGCAGGGTTCTTCTCTGAGAAGTGTCTATGTAAAGACAAGTCCTTACAAATCATGAGTTTTAGAGATCACACCTTCTAAGTTCATTTAGTTTTTGTTCTTACCAAACTGCAGGGTCAAAAACCTCCAAATCCAGAAAGAAGCTTGTGTGCTGAATTTCATTTCAGAGCTTTTTACCCATTGTCCTGTCCCACACAGCCCTTTTTTTTTTTTAATGTGGACTTAGAAAAATCCCAGATGGATTCTCAGATACCAAAAAGAATTTACAAAATTAACACTCTGGAAAGAAAAATATAAACTAAAAAAACCAGTTATTTGGAAAATTTTGCACATCTGAAACAAAAGTTAACTGGGAAACAATAAACTAACCTCTCAGTGGTTCTACAGAGACACCATTCAGAACAGAATCGTGCTTTAAATGACTGCTAAAAACAGCCCTAAAATCATCACCAAGGAAATAATTTTCACTTTACATGTGGTTGCTGATTAAGAGAAGTTTCCTGCACGACGACCTTGCCTGAACCCCATATAATCACACAAAAATTCCCTTCTGTATAAGCTGCAGCAGCCTTTGTGCAAAGCAGTACACAAGAAAGGAGCAGAGCTGACCTGCCACAGCCCGTGGTGTTTGAGAGAGACTTTACTGAACTCATGATGAGCGACACCTCGGCCTCCGTGTCAGACCCGTCACAGTGTGTCAGGCAGGTGGCTCCGCTGCCTGGGGAAGGCACCACAAGACAGTGACTTAGTGACTATTTTGTTAACAGTAACACTTTACCCTGCCAAACACACCCCCTCTTCCAACAAGTAGTTTAGTTAACATTTATGTGACTTTTGGAGATTCAGGTTTACACAAATGTAACTGCAGTTTATTTTATTAATGCCACATAAACCAATACTAATTCCTTACTTCAGGGGGACAGGTTTTGTTCTGAACATCCTTTAAGGATACCTGTGTGTCGGAGCACAACTATGTGGCAGGTAGTTGCATCATCTGATCCAAGAATAGAAACAGAACCTATTTTAAAGGAGAGAAACACCATAAGAACTCCCTTCACACAATCACTGCTTCAGTAGAAGAGCAAATGTTTATGTTCCTACACACCATCTTTGGGGGTGGTCACTGCAAACTCTCTCTGCTGGACATAGAGGAGGCCTTTGGGTTCCACAGTCTGAGCAGGCTGACTTCTCAGAAGCTTTGCCTTTTCCTAAAGATAAATGACAACAGAGACTACAGTGGCTGAATTCTCAGATGTATGCACTGCTTGACAGAAACATCACCTCTGAAAAGCAAAGGGACTCAGGTCAGAGAGAAATGCGTATTTTGGATTATGGTGTATTCTGAATTTTGAGAAGTTTTTGCTTACCTGCCACTGATCAAGTTAATAGTTAAATCCCTTCATTCCACAGACACACAAAGCACTTTTCCCTGTTTCACAGACCATAAAATGGAAGCACAACAAAAAGCATTTGCACTTGGCAAAGATTATACAAGAGACAACACCAGAGCTGATCTTGGAAGTTTAATCAGGACAAGAAACTTTGGAAATGCAGAAGTTTCAGCCTTCTACTGCCACAATCCATAATATTTCCTTAACACTTATCAAAATATCGCTGTCTATTAGCTTGCCTGGTGCAAGGAAAACCCAGATTCCTGGGCTATGACTACTGCAGTGCTTCACCACAGACCCGCTGGGCAGGAAGCGGATTTCCACCCTGGGAGCTCAAAAAACACCTCGCAGTCCTATCAGATTTGCCCTGGTTTTCTGCATAAATCCACGTTCTACAAGAAACACCTTTTAATGGCAAACACCTTCCCAACCAGCTCTGCTCAGTGTTCCCGGCTGGCAGTCCACCGCTTGGATAATAACACGTATATAACATTTATACACTGGAAGCGAGGTTAGCACCTTCCCGACAGTGACCGCCTTGCCTTTATCGCCAGTTTTTGTTATTTCGGGCAGACCGGGCCCGGCCGAGGCAGCCCCAGCCGGCCGCTCCGCTCGCACCCGGGCGGTCACCGCCGAGCCCCTCCCGGGGACACCGATTTTATTGATTTCGGTCCCCCCGTGTGTCACAGCGTGCCCGGGCCGCCCCCGCCCCGCCCGGCGCGGGTTCCACGCCCCGGGCCCCTTCGCTCACCTCGAGGTCGGGTGTGCGCGGATCATGTCCCCCGTGGGCCGGACAGGTCCACCGCGCTCCGTAACCAGCAGCGGCATCTCGGCGAGCGCCAGGCCGGGCCCGGAGGCGCTCCGCGCTCCCTCCTCAGCCCGCGCCGGGCGGCGCCGCGCGGGGCGCTGGGAAAGCGGGGCGGTGGCACGGCACCGCCCGGGGACCGGCAGGGACCGGCACGGCCCGAGCTCGGCCCCACACTGGCACCGCCCGGAGCTCGCGGAGGCACCGCCCGGAGCTCGGCGATCGGCACCCGCCCGGAGCTCGGCAGGATCGACCGCGAGCTCGGCAGGGATCGGCACCGCCCGGAGCTCGGCAGGACGACACCGGCCCGGAGCTCGGCCCCGGCCCCGCCCGGGCTCGGGGGGCTCTGAGGCGAACTCGGAAACGCGCCCGGGCTCGGCCCCGCCTGAAGATTTAACCCTGTAACCTCGCAGAAATCCGCCCCTTCTCCCGTCACTGCGGGGTCACCCGTAGGTTATGGTATGAAACCGGTTTGGTAATAACAGCGATAAAGCCCCGAATTCACAAATCACAGAATCAATTAGGTTGGAAAAGACTTCTGAGATCGCCGAGTCCAACCTCTGGCCGAACACCGCCGTGTCAGTCAGGCCATGGCACTCAGTGCCACGTCCAGTCTTTCCTTGAACATCTCCAGGGACGGTGCCTCCACCTCCTCCCTGTGCAGCCCATTCCAATGTCTGTGAAGAAATTCTTCCTAATGTCCAACCTAAAACTCCCCTGACGCAGCCTAAGACTGTCCTCCTGTCCTATCACAGTTGACTGGGAGAAGAGACCGACCCTCACACCACCATCCTCCACTCCAGCAATCACAAAATTAGGTTTTCAGACAATCCCAAAGACGACCGTTTTTCCTTTAAGACCAGGGATTTCTCCTCCAGTTGTCTGTGTAAGACAGCAAGAAAGACCACTGTGGTAGCAGCAGTTAATTCACCCTGCAGGGAAGAGTGGACAGCCAGGCACCAGGACTGTCCACGACCCCCAGAAAGCCCCCAGCTCGACCTTTCCATCCACTTTCACAAAAGTAAACTGTCCCTGGAAGTGGGGTTGGAACTAAATGATCTTTAAGGTCCCTTTCAACCCAGGCCATTCAATGATTCTGTAGCAGACACTTTCTTCAAAAGGTACACTGAATCTCTCAGATGACATGAATTCCACCTCCAAATCAGCACTCCTTTCACTGGTATTTACAAAGTCTCTTTAGCAAAATGCCAGCACCTGCCAGCACACCTGCCTGCACTTAGACTGAGCAAAGCACAACTGGCACAGCTGAGGGTCCAGAAACACTTCAACAAGTGAAAACTGCAATTTCAGTACAGACAGTTCAATGTCTGCATACTTTTTGACATTATACTACAGTTACAGGGATTTTTTTTGTTGTTTTTAATGAGACATGGAAGCTCCTGAATCACATACCTGGTATTAAAACTGCAGAAGTTTTAGCCTCATTTTGGAAGAAGCAGCTGAAAGGCATATTTGAAATGATGTTTTTCTTGCTGTTGATCTGAGAAGGGTTCTTGCATGCCAGGAGAAAATGCAATTATTTCAGATGGAAATCTATTGTTTATTACTCAGGACTGACAATAGAGAGGACTAAAATTAAACACAAAACCTCAGTTTATACAATGATGAACAGATTCACTGATGCACTTTGCATTTCTGCAGTCTGTCAGAACTAACACCCTGGCTTTGAGAAGCCAGGCTACACAGAGAGCACCTCAGTTACATACAGAAATGGGGTTTTCTCAAATGTGTAAGTATTGCACTGTTGGCATCACTCTTTATTGGCTCCAAATAAAAATGTTGTCTTGAAAGCCTCCAAGTTCAGATTCTAAAGAAGGGCAATTAGAGTTTAGTCCAAATGCATAAAATTTTCAACTCAATGTTACACAAATAGCATTTTCCCCCCACTGTTTATATTTTTACTTAAATCTAAAAGCCAGCAACCATGAAAAGACAAGAAACTTCAGCAGAGAAACTCAACAGTGACTGACACATGGACAACACAAGGACACCACTGACACCACTTTCTTTCCACAAGGGAAGATTTTTTTTCCTATTTTCAGCATTCACATATAAACTTCAAATCCTGCAAATAAATACCTGTCTCATAGTGCTTCATAAGCACTCCAGAGAAAACTATCTACAAATAATACATTCAGCTACTCCCTCATTTTCAACACTTCCAACAATCATCACTTTTACATGTCTGAACTTTCATAGCTGGGAAAGGTGCGTGTCAGCTACAGATTTAAGGAACATTAGTGCTTACTGTCTGAGTACACTCCACTACCAAGTGGCTTCACCAAATACTGTTCTATAGACAGGAAAAGCCTAAGAGATGTGTGTAGAAGAACCACTGTCAGACTGGTTCATGGCCTGCCTATCGAGGGATCACACCTTTACTTTGAAACCAACTTGAGTCGTCAGAGTAGAGTCTGAACACTGACAGGGAATTCTGGCCCCCACACAAATCAGCAGGAAGAAATACCAGAATTTCACCTCTGATATATAAAACCTTGTAGAGAAACATTAGTAAACAAAGTTTTTAAGAGTCAGGAAAAACTATAAAAAAAAAAAAATCCCTTCGAAGTCATAAAAACCATTTCAATGTGAAATTTGCAAAGTATCACCCTATTTATTCTCTAAGCTTTTCTAGCAACATATGACTCTACTATAACATATCTGTAGAAATCTGATGATTAAGAAATAATAATTCTTCTCAAATGTAGTTACTTAAAACGTTTGCCAGTTTGGAAATCTGAGCTAAAGTCTCTGTAAAGAGTGAAACATTGCACACAAGTTTTCAGCCTTCTCACTTCTGACGCCCCGTGTCACGGAGGGAACGGCACGAAACAGTCTGGAGGGGAGCCAATGCTGCTCACGGGGCTCCGGGTGCTGGACTCGTAGGAATTTGGAGCAATTCCAACCACACCATCATTTTGAGGGGTTTCTCCTTTCAAGAAGTCATCATCTTCATCTTCAGAAGTACCCTGAATAAATTCAAAAGGATCAGAGGCCTGGATTTACACTGCGATTGTCCTGACCAGCTAGAAAGGTAAGAGAATTAGATGTACTCTCATTGTGAAATATGGGAACTAAATCACATCTAGAGTGGATTTCCCAGTGACATCATTGTGTCCATATTCTGGGAGTGTTCATAAAGCTTTCACAGGGGTCCTGTGCTGCAGGAAGAGGGGAAAAGTGCTGAGATCAATTCTTAAAGCTTCCAAATTTCAATCACAGTTTAGTGTATTCATGCCTACTTTAAAAAAAAAATCCTGCAATAGAAGGAGCTGACAGAGATTTGGAAAAAGCTAAACTGTGTTTTCATCAGGAAATATTAGAAAGATTACCTTTTTAATGGGTTTCTTTAGATTCTCAAGATCTTCAGCACTCAGCTCTTCCCAGAACTGATAAAGAGGATCAATGGTCTTCTTTGATCTGAGAGAGGAATCACAACACAGAATGAGTTAATATATTCAGTAGAAGTTATATATATTTCATTTTAATAATACAATATAAAATGCTTTGACATTTTGATAGCCCTCTCTAGGATTTTACAAATTACTCAATTAATCCCTATATAATCCTCAATTAATCCCATGAAAAAATACCTCCATTTTGCTGATAGGTATAAATCACAAAGGTTTGCTCGAGGACTTCTGGTACAGTCATGTCTCCTAACTGGGTATTTTTGACAGCTGCTCTATGCTTGCAAAAAAAGCCTAATTTTCTTCCAAAAATTTAAATATTATAGAAACAACTTTATTAATAGTATTCTTTTGTTGTTATATGAATATTAATATTATTAGTAGTCTTCCTTCTGTGGAGATGGATTTTTTTTTGAGACAATAAAAAGCCAGAATGTTGCCCTCTACCATAAAAAGAAAGGTATTTTAAATAAGCTGAAGTCACCAATCAAGAAGCAATATACTGACAGTGCAAAAAACCCAAAACAAAAGGACAGAAAAAGGACACATCACCACCATGGTTCCGACAAAACATGATTTAGGCTAACATGACATTTTAGAGGCTGCTTACAACAAAGAAAAACTAAAAATCACCAAACATATTAACTAGGCCTTCCAGGAAACTGGATCCTGTTCCTTTTTCATTGCTATCTGTCACAGGAGGGGTAAATTTCAATTCAAACCTTTGACAATCTCTGGTTAAAATATGTAATATGAGAGGTACTAAAGATCAGTGAGGAAAGTGAACTGCAGAAACACTGACAGTTTCCTGCAGTTTTTATTCATTATTTCCTGCCAGGCAGAAACAAGTTGTTTATTTTTAAGGCATACCTTTTGAGGATGTAGGGATCAAAGGGGAAGAAGCTGTCCAGTGGGTTAGTGCACGTCTGCACAAGGTCACCCCCGGTGCCGCTCCGAACAACTGGGATGAACTGCCTGTTGTTCCTCTCAATAATGGTGTAGCAGAACACCAGCTGGTATTTCCTTTAAAAAAGGTAATAAAGAAAAGGTAACTTCTAGCACACCTAAAGCAAGGATTTCAGATGGTATTAAAATACAAAGTTGTTTTTTAACAAACATCGCTTCTACCTTCCATTTTCCAGGTGATACTAGGTATTCTCAAGATAGTTACAAGCTAAGGTTCTCTCTTCCTCTATACTCATATGAACTTTACTCTGAGTAGAATCACACTGGCTCCAACACAAAGCAATGACAGTGCTGCAGGCTTTCATTAAAACTGAACCAGAAATAAACTTATCACACCTGGAACATGGGCACTGTCATGTCTTAGATGATATTCAATACTGTGCCTATCAAAATCCATGTTCTAAGTACTGTGCTGGTTTCAGATACACACCAAGATCTGAAGCTGAAACTGAAATAAGTGAGTAGGTACCTGGTAATAGCAGCAAACAAGTTGACAACAGAAGGGATACAAATCTTCAGGGGGTTGAGCTGACACATGACAATGCGCTCGAAATTTAAACTCTGCAGATATGACAGGCCTTGAAAATAAGAACAATTGACAAATACAGGTTAATAATATCATACAAGCTGAACTTAATTTC